ATTCGACCTTGCTCGAATTTATTAAGAGTTAAATTCAACCTCGCTCGAATTAGTAAGATAAATTCGACTTCGCTCGAATTAGCAAGTAAAATTCTACTTCGATCGAATTGACAAGTCAAATTCGACCTCGCTCGAATTAACATGTCAAATTCGACTTCAACACGTCACATTCAACCTCAAATTAGCAGTTCAAATCTGACCTCGCTCGAGTTAATAAGTTAAGTTTGACCTCGCCCGAATTAGCAGGTCAAATTCGACCCCGCTCGAATTAACTACCAAAAGTCAGGGACTTATTGCGAGAAGATCCAAGAAATTCGAAAAGAAAAGAGAAGGAAAGGCCAAAGACATACAATCAGGGACGAATCGACTATTTCATTCAAAGGAAAAATAGCGTCTTACAAAGGGCCAAAAGGGAGGGGGGCCACCCAACCAACTAAGTACAAAAAGAAACTAAGTACAAGAGGAAAAATTAAGTACAAAAGTACAAAAGCTTCACTCAGCATCATCCACATCCACGCCGTTATCTCTCTCCCCGCATGGTTCAGCGACTTCACCTCCACCGTCACCCTCTCCATCAGAATGTTCATAATCAAAGGTAAGCCCATCCTCAGCCTTATTGTCTCCATCGGCCTCCGATGTCGCGGGATCATAGCCGCAGACAAGCGGGCCACACGTGCTTTAACACGAACTTCTTCAAAAGCGACTTCCGGAACATTCCCCGATGCCAACAAGCCCTTATATATATCCCGCTAAGCCTTAGCATGGATCCACATCTCGTACAAATGACGAGGAAGGTCAACAGAGGCAGACGCAGGAGGAGTCGAAGCCAACAATCGCGCCCTCTCAACCTCGAGAGCGGCTATTTGATCACCCAGGCTCGAGACATCTCTCTCAAGCCCACCAATCTGCGCCTACCTCAGAGCGGCCTAAAAAAACGCGAAGAGGCATACATATTTCTCTAAAGGTGAAGATATTGTCCCATCTCAGGCTCCTCGCCAAAAAAGGAGAAAAGAGCTTAGAATCTCGGTATTCATCTGTAATTCAACTTTATCAAATGTACGGAGGTCTGTCTTGTTCAAGAATGGTGACTCTTTTTATTTATGTATTCTTCGTTATCATTCGATATTATTGGAGTAATCATCCTTTTCTTACATTATGGAATTTAATTGCAACAGCAATCAAATTTTGTGTTCAGCTATGCTTGTTTATTCCTACCTTCTATTTCAGATCTAGAATAAATTATCTCTGGCTAGGATTTGTCCAAAATCTTCTTATTTAATTGGTTTAACAAAAAGGGCTTAAAACTTTTTGGTTAAACAGTAGCCACCTAGAGTGAAAGATGTTCAACTGAATATCCTTTATCGAAAAATTATACTGAATATACTATGTATATAGGTCAAAAACTATATATANTCTTTTGGTTATTGTAACTTCTGTAGACCTTTGCTCTTTACTTCTTGAGTATTCATTGGTAATTTGGAAAAAATATATCGTTTTCGATCGGTATTTAATTCAAAAAAAATATAAAATATTTATTTTTTGGTATTTTATTTGGAAAAAATATTCATTTTCATTTTCACTGCTATCACTATCAGAAACAACGCTCTTCAACTTTAGGTTAGGAAATTTCTTGCCATAGTATAATATTTAATTTGAACACGACTTTAGAGGTTAATATTAATTTGACACAAATGAGAAAAACATGGTAATTCTATATATATAGTGGTGGTTCACCGTTTAATGGTGAAAAATCCTTTCAAATACTGTAATTATTTAATTAAGATATGGATCAGTCTATTTCCACTTCCCAAGGTTCATGCAATGCATGCTCAAAATTCGAAAGGCAATTAAAAATTTGTTCAGTCACCCTTTTAAAGAGAACAAGAAAATAGCAGCAGTCTAAGCGAAGTCAGAAATTTTCCTAAGAATATTTAAATTTAAAAGACTTAAAAAAAAGTTCCCGACAAAAAATTTTCAATATATATTATACACCTTTAAAATCCTAGCGGTATAATTTTTCGATGAATTGACCACCCTTACCAGCCAAAATGTAGCTTCGCTCCTAGTACTACTATGATTATCATAATTTGTAAGGATTGAGCCAAAATTTAAACTTTACATGTCTTCTAATTAATCTTAAGATAATAATATTACATGTTAATAACTCGATTATTTATTTAACTTTTGTCCATAATTAGTAGTAAATTTTTTAATATAGTTATAGAATTTGAACTAAAACTATTAGGTTCGCGGAATTCGTATCCTGCCTTCTAATTCCGTCTTCCGTCCCAAATAATTAGCCTACAAAAATGAGTTCAGTAATTAACCTATAGGCTAGAGAGCCAGTGGCTGTGGGTGAACCCGTTGGCTAAGTTTCTCTTAAAAGTGTTGCGGTCCACTGGTTAGACTGTGGCGAACCCATGTACAATGGTGTGCGTTCACGTGACCTATAATAGCCAATTTGGCTAAGCTTCTAAAATTATTTTATTTTGACAAGTAATTTTTTTAAAAAATATATTTGACGATAATTAGTTTGTGGCTACTTAATTTAAAAAATACTTTTTTTTATACACAATTAATTTCTCAGTCCCTCTAGTTGGGTGGGCGTCGACCGACTGTTCAGCCCGATCCCTCTAAAACTTATAGAAGAATTAACCCAAATAGCAGTTCACCCAATCGTTTAAACTAAAAATAGCCCGTGGAGGTATAACATATCCATAATTTATGTACTATATGTGTATAATTATATATAAATAATGTATTTTATGTATATGGTTTGAAAAGTAAACAATGAATGTGACCGACTATTTATGTAAAGATCCCAAAATTTTACGTGACTAGCATTCATTCGCAAATCTTGTATTGAAATTGAGACGGCTCAACCTTGGAAGCTAATTCGCGTGTAGGCAGCACGTCGCACCGTTGACTCTATTTATTCATTAAATTTTCTTTATTTCATTTTCTATTTTATATAGGCTTGAACATCAACTAGTGTTTGACCAAACCTATAAAAAGTGCTTATAAGTGTATATTTTTCTTAAAATTTGGAAAAGTTATTTTTTTTGTTTCTCAAAAATTGTTTATGTTTTTACTCAAAATTAGTTTTTCTTTCTAAAAATTTGGCCAAATATCTTTAACTTTGAAAAAGATATTTTTGATCAAAAAAATACTTTAACTTAAAAAAAGCTTGGCCAAATAGACTACTAGCTATGTGAACTCGTATAATAATGATAAATCTACTATGAGAACAAAGCTAAATAAAAAGTGGCAGAGTTCATAGGATTAACTCTCAATTGTGCAACAAATAGTGTAACATGTTCCTTTTATTTTAACTTTCTTTTTTATTTTAACTTTCTTTTGTTAAAAAAAAAAAAGGTTGTGAGAAGCACCTCAAATTTATGATGCTACTAGTTAAATTGCCCATTTTTTTGCACGGTTACAAAGGAAACAGTAAATTTTTGATATGATCCCACTGTAATTTTAGCCAAGGTATAACAGATGAAATTTTCATATATACACCATATCAATTATAACAGGACTAATTTAGTTTAAAGTTAAAACAAAAACAACAATTTTTGTCTGATAATCGATTATGAACTTCACTAATTTTAAAAAAGAAAACATTCAAATTTGTCATTGTACTATTTAAAATTGTTCAATTTTTGTCATTTGTTTCACTTTTGAACTTTTCACATCCTTTTTGTTAATAAATCGTACGTCTTGTATTTGCTTTTGCCATTATCGGAGCTCTAGCAAAAATTACTCCACGCTTCAAAAAATATTCGAAATTGTCCCTTGACTTATAATTATAATTTAAAATTACACTTAGATCGAAACTCCGTTAGAAATCAAGAACAAAAAATAAGATTTTTTTCTAACTACATGAGTAATATTAGATCAAAATTACCCCTCAGCTTCTTATTTTACTTTTATGATTACACTACTACAATATGGAAGAGGGTTTGTAGCAAGTTAAGGTTTAGATATTCCAAATTATTGCGCTTTTAAGGGTGCGTTTGATACAAAGGAAAATATTTTTCTAGAAAAATATTTTCTTGGAAAATGAGTGATTTTATCACTTATTTTTTCTTACTTGGTTGATGAATGAAAAAAAAATCAAAAAATATTTTATAGTGTTTATTTATAGAGTAAAAAATATTTCTTAAGAAAATAATTTTTTATACTACACTCCGTAGCATAAAAAATTATAGAAAGCAAATACTCTTCAAAAGTACTCTATGAAAGAAACCAAGAACCACAAAACTTTGTTCTAGAGTGGAAGGTTAAGGTCCATAGTTGGAATGGGTGATTGCCATATTTTTTGGTGCAATTGACCGCAAAATTATGGGAGAATGACACAAATAGAATCATTTGGTATTATTGTTTAAATTTTGATCTCAATACGAAAATTTTTAGGAAAATAGTCTCTAATTAAAATTCTAAAGTATTTTGGTCATAAATTCTTGGTCAATTCTTATGGCGATTCGGCAAAATTTTGACGGTTGCTATAATTTTATAAGGTATGGTGATTCTCGCAAAAATATAACGATTGCCATATTTTTGGTGCAATTGACCAAAAATTCTGACCGACCACTAATTTTTTTTGCATTGTAACCAAAAATTCTAGTGATGATCAGAATTTCTAGTTTCAAAATTCTGACCAATATGCTTTAAAATTCTAACTCAAGATTATTCTCCTAATTTTTTTTTAAAACAAGACTAAAATATAAACGATAATTTAAAAAAGATCCCTCCAGCATCATTTCCAGGTTAAAAATTACAGAAGTGACGGGAAAGAGACCTGCGTCCCACAAATTATCCAAAAGATGGAAGTTTCTACAAAAATCTACCCTTTTCTTTTTAGCCAAAAGTTTCAAAAATAGCCACAGTCCTTTCCAGAAATGTCCACATAAAGTTACTAGCAGAACCTTCTAGCATGTCCAGCACCTTCCAACATCTAATCAACACAAAAACTATATATATACAATCAAACCCTCTACTAATCCCCAGCCTCACCAAATTAAATAGAAAAAAATTCAGTTCATTCAACAAGAAATACAGTTCCCTAGCAGTAATTAAAGCAGAAAAATGAAGCCAGTGATGCAGGAAAACAAGGAGAAAGTTGACACGAAAAACGTCGACAAAATTAAGTATATAGAAAGAAAATTAACAGAAAAAGGAGTGCAGAGATTGGAAAGACATCCAGCAGATGGGCTACCATTGAAACACGGTCCAAAAAAGGGCCATGGCGGAAAGTTTACATGGGAAGGACCTGATAAGGAAGCGGAAAATGAAATGGAGCCAGCGCCGCCGGCATTGGACGAGAAGGATCCGAACTATGTGGATGAAATAGCAGAGGAAAAGTTGATGAAAGAGGAGGAAATTGGAGGAGTTGTGGTGGGGAAAGTTGAAGTGGCAAAAGTGGCTGAAGAAGGTGTTGCTAGAGTTGAAATTGATCCTAATTTGAAGGTTAATTAGATTTGTTGATTAAAGATTAGTGACTTGTGTAATTAAGGAGAGAAGTGAAAATGATGTGAATCGTGTTTTGTTTCATGTAATGTAATAATAAGTACAGTTTTCTTTGCTAATTTAATCGAAAAATCATTGCCCCTTTTCACTCACTACTCTCTACCTTGACCACTCAATAGATCTAATAACGAAATTGCAGAAAACACTTAGGACTACTTGGACTTTGAGTTCTTTTATAGGGACTTTGAGGGAAGAAATTCAAAAATAGCCAGATTTACAACTTTCAAAAATAGTCCATTTTTAAAAGTAATCGAAATTTAGTTACTTTTTATGTAAAAATAAATTTGAGCGAAAATACTGTTCAAAACCTGGAAAATACGTCAGTATATTATATTGGAGTTTTAGCATAAGTATGCTTGAACTCCAGCATATTATATTGAAGTTTCAGGATAAGTATGTTGGAACACCAGTATAATATGATGGAGTTCCAGCATAAGTACACTAGAATTCCAGCAAGTATAATTGTCCAGTATAATATACTGGAGTTTGGAGCACCGGTGCTCCGGTCTCCAGTATATTATACTGGAGTCAACAAAGTATACTGGTCCAGCATAATATGCTGGAGTTCATACACAAGTGCACCGAGCTCTAGTATATTATGCTGGATCGGTTTCTGTTGCAGCAAAATAGTGGCTATTTTTATTGACTTCGTAAATACTGGATATTTTTTAATGACTGGTTCGAAAACTAGCTATACCGTGATATTTTTGTGATATTTTACGACTTTGAGTTCTTTTGGATCTACAAATTGATCTTTTAAGTATAAATGTTGGGCTTAATGGGTATCTTTATTTTTATTGGGCCATACAAAATTGGGCTCGCCCAGAACTTTCAGACAGTTACTATTCATTCGATCGAAAATTATTATGGGTTTTTATTTTTAAAAAAAGTCTGTTCAGCGTATTGTAAATATTGAATTCGAATGAATCCAAGCACTCGCTCATCCCTATTTGACTATTTCAAGTTATGTTAAGAAAAACCAAATGTTCCAACGAAACCTACAATTCTATTCACTTCCAACTTTAATTAAAATTATAAAATTGAGCCTCGTCGTCATTTATTCTCACGCAAGTAGAGATGAATTAAAATTTTAATTTTTGGTCAATTTTTATTACCGAGTCACTCCACTTATTTTTAGCCGAGGGTCTTTCGGAAGCAGCCTCCCTATTTCTTCAGAGTAGGGTTAAGATCTGCGTACACACTACTCTCCTCAGACCACACTAATGAGATTTTACTGGATCGTTGTTGTTGTTGTTGTATTTTTAAAGCACACAAATGTTTACTTTATCCATCAAAAATATTTGGTTCATCACTCCTTTAAAGGAGAAGTTTTATTGTGTGCCTCACACAACTGACATTAGTTGTTATACTTCTGAATTCATAAAAATCTGGATTCATAAAATTGTGAGACAAAAAAATACCTCATACCAACTAGTGTCAGTTGTATGAGACGCAATAAAATTTTCCTAACGTGAAACGTGGCGAGAACCCAAAATCACAAAGTGTCAAACTCTATTTCCTTCACAAAGTTACACGTCGCTCCTCACCGCTCACATTTTCTTATTCAAACTCGTGCTATAAATTTTTTACTTCCTCATACAACAAACACTTTCATCTTAAATTTTCTGCTCAAACATTGTCCAAAAAAAAAAAAAAAAAAAATATGAATCCTATAGACGATAAGAAGGAAACAGTGACATTTCGAGCAGTAAGCCACGACGAAGAAGGCAAAACAAAGGTAACAAAACACCAAGTAAACACACACAACATCGAAACCCTAAAACACGTAGAAAAAAAACTCATAGACAAAGGTATACACAGAAAAGACCGACGTCCAATAGATGAAATTCCTTTAACAAAACAGCCAAAATCAGGGCACGGTGGGAAGTTTACATGGGAAGGACCAGAAGATATGATAGAAAATGAAATGGATGGTGCACCAATGGCTATAGATGAAAATGATCCAAATTATGTAGATGAGGAAGAAGAAAGGAGAATATTAAGAGGAGAAGTTAGTGGAGTTGAAGGTTTGGTTATTGGAGAAATTGATGTGGCTAAAGTTGCAAATAATGAAGGTGTGGGAAGAGTTGATGTTGTTGATCCTTTTTTGCAAACTAATACGTAAGGTTTTATTTAATGACTTGTCAACTTAGGTAATTTGAGAAATTGGAATAATTATGGTTATGAAAGTACTTGGTCTTAACTTTGTTTAAAATTGAAAGTTTAGTGTTGTGTATTTCTCATATGAAGATGATATCAATGCATGTTCTGCTACAAATTTTTTTTTTTTTTTTGGGTCGAAGGTAAGTTAGATTTATTTGTTTTTCCCTTTCTTTACTCAAAGATGAACATGATTTCGATGGATTTTGTGCAAAAAAGCAAGTTATTAATATGAATAAAATAAAATCATAAGGAAGCTATTCAATAACAAGGGGATGTAGCTCAGATGGTAGAGCGCTCGGTGTTCAAAAATAGTATGTTATAATGGTCCAGCATACTATACTACTGAAGTTTAGAGCATCGATGTTCTACTCTCTAGTATATTATACTCGATCCAGCAAAGTATACCGGTTCAGCATAACCTGGAAGTTCATAGGGAGAAATTCAAAAATAGTATGTTATAATGGTCCAGCATACTATACTACTGAAGTTTAGAGCATCGGTGTTCTACTCTCTAGTATATTATACTCGATCCAGCAAAGTATACCGGTTCAGCATAACCTGGAAGTTCATATACAGGTGCATCGAACTCAAGTATATTATGCTGGACCAGTCTCTATTACAGTTGTAAGCACGTGATTTTTGATTTTACGCGACAATCGCTCCAAAAGAATTAAAAATGTATGTGTCATGCGTAATTTAAACCATGACCCGTTTGTTAGATGGAAAATTACAAAAATACGCATTCCTTTCTTTTGTTCTGATTTGTTGCCTTGTTTAATTTTGCCTACTTTTAACATTTTTATACGCGTGAAATAAATACGTTAAGTGTTAATTAGTGGTGCATAGTTTTATTTAATTAGGTTGTGTATTTAGGAAATTAGAAATAAAGAAAAAGAAGACAAAATTTGTTGTAAAATGGATTTGGGCCGTGCCCATTTCAAAATCTGGAACCCAAGCAAATAGCCCAGTCCACCGGTCCACACAGCCCACTCCCCAGGCATCAAAACGACGTAGTTTAACACCAAAACTACGTCGTTTCAATGCCAATCCATCCCAACCATTCAAACCAAGCTGATCCAACGGTCCGGATCTCTCACCCATAACCCCATTTGCCCGACCCGTTACCCGAACCAACTCTGCCCCTAACACTTGAAACGACACCGTTTCCCTCAAGTGGAAGGATCTTGGCCCTTCGTCATGCCTCATCCAACGGCTGAGGTCCATCCACNGCTACACCAACCAACCCCAGCTTCACACCAGACACTCCCCAGAACCCCCTCGTGACCAAATCATACTTGGTTTGGTCTGAATCTGATCAGGGAAGCCTGAATCCCAGATCTAAGTTTGAAAGTTTTGTGTTCTTCCGTCACTGGTTCAACCGAAGAGATTAAGGTCTAATGGACTTTAATCAAAGTGTTTCTCATCTGAGAAACACTTCGTTTAAAGTCCGTTCAGCCTTAAGAAAGGTCTGACCAAGTCCGAGTTAAGGTTTTGACCTTTTGCGGTTTAAGGTGAGTCTTGTTTTCTTTTCTTTATTTTTGTTTTATTTCGTGTGATTTGTTTTCAAAAGTCTGTTCATATTTGTTTTAATTTTACCAACTTCTGTTTGTCCACTTCGCCTGAACTTCTGTTTGTTTGAATGAGTCCTTCTATTTGCCCTGATAATGTGTATGTAAGTGGTGTGCAATTAGTTGATTCTCAACATTGAACTGATCATTTGGCTTCTCGAGCACCACTTTGCTTAGCCAGTACAATTCAAATCGCATGTCGATACTGTTGAATGTTTGATTTTTGGTTACGATTGTGTATGTTAATGCTAATATAGTCGAGTCGACATGTGTCGTCAATTAATTTCAACTGTCCGAACAATAACAAATCGATTTACTTCTGCCAAGCATTTGTTGAGTCAATTAAGAACCAGTTTTTGTTTACTTATAGCTTGTTTGAATTGATCAGTAATGTAAAAAGGATTGTTTATGTTTAAATTCTGAATTGGAAGGCATGTACACTCGTGCACAGCATGTGCATTGGTGCACCTCATGTGCCTTGTGCACCTCATGTGCCTTGTGCACAGCCTGTTTTTCTGCATAAGAAGGCTTTTAAGTTTTAAACAATTTGACAGCATATGCTGTCAGATATATTCTACTGCCCATGCCTGGCTTCAGTTTAAAGAAGTATTTAAACCTTTTAAAAGTGAAATCTGTCAGGGAATGTTGATGGGGTTTAATACTTAATTAGCTAAAGTTGGAATTGAAATGGAAGGCACATGGGAGGGGTACTGTGATGTTCTGTAAACAGGCTGTTAAAAGAGATAGTTCTGAGGCTTATAAAGGGAGGAGATCTAAAAAATACAGGGGCGGGGAAAAATACACTGTGAGGAGTTTTGAAAGAGAAAGCTTGAAATACATACATTGTGAGGATAGAAAAGAAAAAGAAAGTGTTGGCAGGAATAGAAAGAGAGCAAGAAAGAGATAAAAACAGATTAAGAAATCAGAAACTTGGTTTTGTTTGTCTAAAGTTCATCTATTGTCAATACGTTAGGCAGTGTTCCTTCTTCTAAATCTCAATTGAGATTATTGTTAGTGTTTTGTTGCATTTGGTATATTCCGGAATTGGATTGTCTGGAGTATCACACCGTGTGTTGTTTCATTTGGCTGTTCTCTTCTTCAACTCTGGTTCCATCTCGCAACAGAATCCTTTCTGTTGTGCTGTTCTGATTACTGCTGCTATCTTGCTCACTATTGCTGCTGCATTTCTGTCCTGCTGCTACTGTTAATTCTGCTTTTTGCTGCTGCTGATTCCCCCATCTTCTTCTTCTTCTTCTTCTCCTTTGCATTTTCAGCATTTTCAGGTACACATTTCAAGCCCCATATTGATGTAATTGAAACAGTTTGAAAGCATGAAATGAAAAAGGTTGAAGAAGTTCAAG